TCAGCAGCATCATCATCATCATCATCAGCATCAGCATCAGCATCATCATCATCAACAACATCATCATTTTCATCACCGTCACATCATACATCATCATTCCCCACATCCAAGGTGGGGTTCTTGTTTTCTCTGCACACCCCCCGCGCAGGATCTCACACCCTCTCTCTCTCTCTCTCTTCCTCTTTCTCGCCATCATCATCATCAGTCATCATCATCATGAACCACGCCTCTCCTCCTCAGCACCATCACACTTACCCATACACCACTCGATCGCTCACTCACTCACTCACTCACTCATCATGATCATCACATGAGGATATCATCCGTTGGCGTCACACATCACTCAGTCAGTCCGTCACTCACTCGAGTATCAAGCGGGAGCGTCGTCTGTGAGTGAATTGCGAGGAAGTCTCAGGCGGGAGCCTCTCCCTATGGGGCCCGCAGATCATCTTACTAATCCGAGGCGGGTCATCGGGATCCTGTAACTGTCGTCACTTTTGGGCTCCTGGGGCGTGAATTTGGAGGAAGTATCAGGCGGGAGCGTCGTCTGTGAGTGAATTGCGAGGAAGTCTCAGGCGGGAGCCTCTCCCTATGGGGCCCGCAGATCATCTTACTAATCCGAGGCGGGTCATCGGGATCCTGTAACTGTCGTCACTTTTGGGCTCCTGGGGCGTGAATCTGGAGGAAGTATCTAGCGGGAGCCTCGTCTGTGAGTGAATTGCGAGGAAGTCTCAAGCGGGAGCTTCTCCCTATGGGGCCCGCAGATCATCTTACTAATCCGAGGCGGGTCATCGGGATCCTGTAACTGTCGTGACTTTTGGGCTCCCGGGGCGTGAATTTGGAGGAAGTATCAGGCGGGAGCGTCGTCTGTGAGTGAATTGCGAGGAAGTCTCAGGCGGGAGCCTCTCCCTATGGGGCCCGCAGATCATCTTACTAATCCGAGGCGGGTCATTGGGATCCTGTAACTGTCGTCACTTTTGGGCTCCTGGGGCGTGAATTTGGAGGAAGTATCAGGCGGGAGCGTTGTCTGTGAGTGAATTGCGAGGAAGTCTCAGGCGGGAGCCTCTCTCTATGGGGCCCGCAGATCATCTTACCAATCCGAGGCGGGTCATCGGGATCCTGTAACTGTCGTCACTTTTGGGCTCCTGGGGCGTGAATTTGGAGGAAGTATCAGGCGGGAGCCTCGTCTGTGAGTGAATTGCGAGGAAGTCTCAGGCGGGGGTCTCCTCCCTATGGGGCCCCCAGATCATGTTACTAATCCGAGGCGGGCCATCGGAATCTTGTAACTGTCGTCACTTTTGGGCTCTTGAGGCCTGAATATGGGAGAAGGATCAGGCGGGAGCCTCGTCTGTGAGTGACTTGCGAGGAAGTCTCAGGCGGAAGCCCCCTCCCTATGGGGCCCGCAGATCATCTTACTAATCCGAGCGGGTCATCGGAAACCTGTAACTGTCGTCGCTTTTGGGCTCCTGAGGCCTGAATATGGGAGAAGTATCAGGCGGGCGCTCCATCCCTGTGGGGCACGCACTTCATGTTCGAACCCGAGCGGGTCATCCGAGCGAGCTTTTTGGGCTCCTCAGTTCCTGCGGCCTGAACAAGGGGGAAGTATCAAGCGGGAACTTTGTCTGTGGGCGGTGCGGGTAGTCCCGTCTGAGGACCGTCTCTTGTCGTCACTTGGAGGATCGAAGGGGAACTCGCTCCTGCGGCCTGAATATTCTCTTTCGACTTGCCCACGTCCAATTGCTGGCCAACCTTGTCGTCGTCGGCGGGAGAGGGAACTTGAAAAGGTTCACTCTCCCGCGTTCGTTTGGGCTGGGGAGGGAACTTGAAAAGGTTCACTCTCTAGCTGCGGGAGAGGGAACTTGAAAAGGTTCACTTTCCCGTTCGTGGCAGGATTGGGCTGGAGAGGGAACTTGAAAAGGTTCGACGTCTCTAGCTGCGGGAGAGGGAACTTGCAAAGGTTCCCTGTCCCCCCTTGTCGTCGGAGTGAAGGGGGAACTTGAAAAGGTTCACCCTTCATTCGCGGGAAAGGGAACTTGAAAAGGTTCACTTTCCCTTGGAGAGGGAACTTGCAAAGGTTCACTCTCCAGCAGCGGGAAAGGGAACTTGCAAAGGTTCACTTCCCCGCGCGTTCCAACTGGAGAGGGAACTTGAAAAGGTTCCCTCTCCAGCAGCGGGAAAGGGAACTTGCAAAGGTTCACTTTCCCGCGCGTTCCAACTGGAGAGGGAACTTGAAAAGGTCCCCTCTCCAGTTTTTTTCTGACCCCCCTTTTCCTAACACCGATGTTTCAATGGACTAAGGGGTCACTAACGCATTTTTTTCTCGGGCGTCGGGGGAGGAATCGCGTTGGCTGGAAACGGAGCTGAGCCTGGCGCGGGCGCTCGATGGAAAACCCTCACGAAACGCTTTGAAATCGATGATTGCGGATGACGAGCAGCACATTTTGCAATTTCCCCATAGGGGGATGGAACGCAATGTACGTTTTTCTTTGGCATGCGTCACGAAAACGGCCCCTCGAGAACGAAAACGACGCAACGCCCTATTTTCATTATGAAACAATTAGCATTTGAGAGAGTTTTTCATAGATGCACGTGCCCGTGCTCGTCGCGACGCGCGGCGCCTCGGCGCCCCCCTCGTTTTCCTGCAGGCCGTAGACGAGTGCGGCACGATTCAAGGCGAACCAGACGCAGGCCGGCGCCTCCTGAACGTCCCGAACATGCACAAGACGGGGGACATCCACGGCGTCTTACCGGCACACGTCGGCATGGAGGTCCGGTTCACGGCCGTGCAGGAGGAGCTGAAGAAGAAGTTGGGGCTCGTGCAGGAGCAACGGGCCACCATCGTGTCCTTCGAGTTTCACGCAGACGACGAGCGGGACTACGAGGAGTGCGCGCCGGGCCAGCTCTTCCGCCCCCGCTTCCTACCGCAGGGAATCTGGCTGCATGTGCACGGCTTCCAGGAGTCCCCGATCTACAAGGAGGTCGCCGAGGTGCTGCTGCAGGGCACCGAGGGCGCTGACGACGACGGCGAGGCCCAGGCGCGGGCGAGGAGCTTGCTCATGTTCAGGCCCAGCGAGCAGGAGTTCACGTGGCAGAGCTCGGGGGCGCACACTGTGCGCCGCTCGGGATTCACGCTGACGCACGCGTCCTACCTGACCTCCACGCTGTCGCAGGGCCAGACGCTGCGCAAGGGCGTCACCATCGACTGCGCCAGGGATGAGGACGCTGGCCGCACGGGCATGTCGGACGATATGTGGTGGCTGCACCTCTACGTCATGTTCTCCCGCGCCACGTGCATGCGGAACATGCTGATCCTGCGGCCGCCCGCGCGAGAGTTCCTGGAGCGCGGGCCGCCGGCGTCACTGCGGAAGGCGCTCCAGGAGTTCGACGAGAGAGCGGTGGACTCCAGGGCTGAAGCGGAGCAGCTCGCGGCAGAGCTGGGCTTCGTGCTGCCGCCCGCCTGAGCGCCGCGGCGCGCGCGAGGAGGCCCGCGGGGTTGTCCCAACGGCCTGGCCCGCGGGGTTGTCCCGACGGCCTGCCCTCGCGCTCCGGCGGCCCGCGGGAGTGCCCCGCAGGCATGGCTGGCCCGAAGGGTTGACCCGACGGCTTCGCGATCTGGCCGTCGGCAAACGCGCGCGTTCTGACCGAGGCGGCGACGGCGCCGAGGAAAATCGACTTGTTTCCCCCGACCGGGGGGGAAGGGACGTGCACGTGGAAAAGAGGCAGGAGGAGGATGAGGACGGAAGGGGTATGGGGAGGGCGATGATGAGGAGGAGGTGGAGAAGGAGGAGGAGGAGGAGGAGGAGAAGGAGGGGGGGGGGAAATAGAAGAAGAGGAAAAGATGGCAGAGGAGAGGGCGATACGAGGGTTTTTGCCATGGCCGGGAGGAAAGGGATAAGGGAAAGCTAAACAGATTATCATGTGGGGTCCTTCCGTCGGAGTAATTTTCATCACCGTCACATCATTTGGAACGTCGGTCCAAAACTGCCCAAGACGCTGTCACATCATTTGGAACGTCGGTCCAAAACTGCCCAAGACGGCCCAAGATCGCGTCAGACGCCTCCTACATGGCCCCATACATCATGTGGGATGTCGGCCCCAAACGGCCCAAGATCGCGTCAGCCGCCTCCCAAATGGCCGCATGCTGGCCCAAGAGGCCCCCGAGAGGGCTGCAAGAACGAAACACGGCATGGCCCCAAGAAGCCGCGGAGAAGGCTCCAGACCGACAAACAGGGCGAGGAATTTTGGGCCAAATCCGGCAGGGAACGCCAAACAAGCGTCAAGCGAAGAGCCCCATGGTGCGCTTGGAGCCGGTTTGGGACCGTTTTCGGGCCTTCTTAGGCCATCTTTGGCTGTTGTTGGTGCTGTCTTCGGTGCTTCTCGGGCTGTTATCTCGGGGCCTCCGGGGGGTCGTTTAGGAGCCTCTCAGCGCTTCTTCTCTGCCTCCTGGAAGCCTCCTGGGGCCCTCTTGGGCTGTCTCGGGTGCCTCTTGGGCTGTGTTGAAGCCGTCTGGGGGTTGTCTGCGGCAGTCTTGGGCGTCTCTGGAGCAGTCTGGGGACCGTCTGGGGGTCGTCTTGGGCCGTCCTGGGCCGCTCTTGAGGCTGTCTTGGGTGCTCCGTGGGCCGCCAGGGGCGCCTCAGGAGCCGTCATGGGTCTGCCAAAATGCACGTTTTCCTAAGGGAATGGGGCGATTTTTCGGTGTTCGGGCTCTCTTGGGGCTCGTCGTGGAGCCCACTTGGAGCGTTTTGGAAACCCCTTTCGCCGTCTGGAGGCTGTCTGAAGCGTTTTCGAACGCTCTGAGCGCATCTCGGAGACCCTCTTGGACCGTCTTCGGCCGTCTGGGGGCCCTCTTGGGGGCCTCCTGGTGCGTCTTGGAACGCTCTTGGGTCGTCTTGGAAGCGCGCCGAGGCCTGCTGGGGCTCGCAGGGGCCGCCGGAGGGGGCTGGTCCGCTGCCACCAATCGGCCCATCCGCGAGCGCTGGGGCAGCCATTGTAGGAGAGACGACGTTGGGCTCCAGCTTCGCCTTCCGCATCTCGCTCAACAGCGCGAGCGCCCACTGCCACTGCGCACCCTTCTCGCAGGCGCTGATCCCAGCGGTGTAGCTGACTAGGGCTGACCCGTGGACTGCGTCCACTTGCGGGGTGAAGGGTGCTGCTGCAAGGCGATTAGGATGAATGGCGTCATGTTCGCCTGCCACACATCGCTGAGCGAGGAGACGGAGGAGCGTCTGGACGCCCCACCTGGGGCAGGGCTCCCTTGAGATCGAGTCGGGCTTTGTCGTTGCGTTGGGTCCGACCTTCTCGGGTCGTTCTGGTGCCGTCTGGGGGCCCTCTGAGACACGCCTCCAAGATAGCTCCATAATGGCCGCCCGCCCAGAATCAGCGGGACCGATTCTGGGCCACCGCGCCGCCGACCCAGAATCCCGCCCGACGCGCCCTGGGCGGCCGCGCGCGCTTCCGGGGTCGGCCGAGGCGATCTTGGGCCACCAGAAGAGCGAAACACGGCATGGCCCCAAGAGGCCGCGAAAAGGGCTCCAGACCGACAAGAAGGGCGAGGGATTTTGAGGCCAAAGCCGCAAGGAGCGCCAAACACGCATCGGAAGCCCATGGTGCGCTGGGAGCCGTTTTGGGACCGTCTGTGGCCGTCTTTGGCTGCTGTTGGTGCTGTCTTCGATGCCTCTTGGGCCGTCTGGAGGCGGTCTGGGGCCGTCTGAGGGTTGCCTGGGGCCGTCTTGGACGTCTCTGGAGCAGTCTGGGCACCGTCTGGCGGTCGTCCAAGGCCGTCCTGGGCCGCTCTTGAAGCTGTCTTGGGTGTTCCGTTGGCCGCCAGGGGCGCCTCAGGAGCCGTCCTAGGGCCTTCTTGTGCCTCTGTATGGCCGTCTTGGACGCCATGAAGAGGGCAAGCCCAGGAACTGCCAAAATGCATCCCCAAGTGCATGGGACGATTTTTCAGTGTTCGGGCTCTCTTGGGGCTCGTCGTGGAGTACTTGGAGCGGTTTGGAAGCCTCTTGGGCCGCCTGCAGGCCATCTGAGACATTGTCGGGGCCGTCTGGGGGTTGCCTGGGGCCGCCTTGGGCGTTGCTGGAGCAGTCTGGGCACCGTCTGGCGGTCGTCGTGGGCCGTCCTGAGCCGCTCTTGAGGCTGCCTTGGGTACCCCGTGGGCCGCTAGGGGCGCCTCAGGAGCCGTCCTAGGGCCATCTTGGGACCGTGTATGGCCGTCTTGGACGCTATGAAGAGAGCAAGCCCAGGAACCGCCAAACTGTGCGTTTCCCCGGGGGAATGGGACGATTTTTCAATGTTCGGACTCTCTTGGGGCTCGTCGTGGGGCCCACTTGGAGCGTTTTGGAAACCTCTTGGGCCGCCTGCAGGCCATCGGAGGCGTTGTCGGGGCCGTCTGGGGGTTGCCTGGGTCCTCCTTGGGCGTCTCTGGAGCAGTCTGGGCACTGTCGGGGGGTCGTCTTGGCCGTCCTCTGGGCCGCTCTTGAGGTTGTCTTGGGTACCCCGTGGGCCGCCAGGGACACCTCAGGAGCCGTCCTGGTGTCGTCGTGGGCGGTCTTGGGGTCCTCATGGGAGTATCTTAGGGCGATCTTGGGGCCTCTCTTTGGCCGTCTTGGCGCTCTCGGGGGCCGTCTTCGGGCTGTCTTGAGCCGGCCTGAGGCCGTCTTGGGGGTGTCTGGGTCCGTGTTGGGGCGGAGTTGCAGGGAGGCGGGGCCGTCCTGGACGCTGTGCACACCCAAAACGCGAGTGAGCCGAACATGTACATTTTACCACTGGAATCGGACGATTTTTGCTTCGTGGGGTTTCTCTCGGGGGCCTCTTGGGGCGGCTTGCGGGGATCTTTGGCCGCCTTTGGCCGCCCTGAGGCCGTCTCCAAAGCGAGCGAAGCCGATTTTCGGGAGCGTGAGGCCGTCCGCTGAGCCATCCCGGCACTCCGAAGACTCCGAGGCGGCCCGGATGGTCCCGAGAGTCCCCCTGGAGGGGCCCAGAGGGGGGCCCAGAGAAGCCGGTTCGCTGCCACTCCGGGCCTGTTCCTACGCGCTGAGTCGGCCATTGTAGGAGAGACTAGGGCTGACCCGCGGCCTTCAGGCCGCGGAATTTGCCCGCCATGGCTTGGACGTGGAAGTGGAGCGTCTCTGGGGCCTCGCGGGGAAGGGGAGGTTGGAGGGGACGGCGTGGATGGAGGAGGTGGCCGCTGGAGGGGCAGGTGGGCAAGGGATGCAGGCAAGCAGGCCTGAACGCAGGAACGCGGTGGTGGAGGCGGTGTCAGTGGAAGCGCACCCATGTAGGCATGACATGGTGCGGACAGAAGCTGTTTTTGACGCCGCAGTCTGTGTTCACCATCCTAGCTTCTGCGGGGAGGGTAGCCGTGGGAAGTTATCTGCTCTTCGCAGGGGCCGAATGATAAAATTTCATCTGGTAGTGTGGTGACAATGGGGCCAGTGGGCGAGGCCTAAGAGGCCCGCAAGAGGGCGGCGAGACGGAACTCCCTAAGACGGGCCCCAGTGTGAGGACACGAATCAACCTTTCGAGCGCACCGCCCCAAGACGTTCCCAAATGGCGCAGAGATGGCTCGCAGAGGGTCCACGAAGCCCCCAAGACGATACTGGAAGTTCGACGCTCCCCAAGAGAGAAGCATCCAAGGCCTCTTGGGGGCCGCTTGGGGGCCTCCTGGAGGTCTCTTGGAGCCCTCTTGGGCAATCTTGAGTGCGTCTTGGGCCGTCTTGGGGCGATGTGGGGCCGTCTTGGGCGCCTCTCGGCATCTTGGGACAATCTTGGAGCCATCTTGGGTGAATATTGGGTGTTCTTGGGGCTGTCTTTGGTGTTTGTTGAGCCGTCTCGGGCGCCTCTGGAGCCGTCCTGGACAGCCCAAAGATCGTCTTGGAGACTGTCCAAACGGAAAGGCTTGGAGACAGGGCGGTGGAGGCCTCTACAGCCGTCTTGGAGACGGGGCGGTGGGGCCGTCTTAGGCCATTATTAACTGCTCTTGGGGCTGTCTTGGGCGCGTCTTGGGCAATCTCAGGCGCCTCTGGAGCCGTTCCGGGGCCCTGTGGGGCAGTTTGGGTACCCTCCTGGGGGCGTCTGGGCGCGTCTTGGGGCGAGCTTGGGAGCCTGTATAGCCGTCTCGGACGTGCGAGGACGAAAAAAAAAGAGATAGATTGAACATGTACGCTCCTCGTCGGGACTGACGATTTGGGCCTCTTGGGGCTCTCCTGGAGGCCCTCCTGGGCCGTCTTGGGAGCCTCCTGGACTGCCTTGGGGGCCTCTGGGGCTGTCTTGGGGCTCCCAAGGGTGCTCTGAGGCCGTCTTGGCGCCCCCTGGACCCTCTCGGGGCCGTCCCGTTGGCCATTCTTGGCTGCTCTTGGGGCTGTCTTGAGTGCGTCCTGGGCCGTCTCGGGCGCCTCTGGAGCCGTCCTGGGGCCGTGTGGTGCCCTTTGGGGGCCTCTGGGCGCGTCTCGGGCCAAGATTGGGGGCCTGTGTAGCCGTCTTGGACGTGCGAGGACGACAGAGAAAGAAAGATTGAACATGTACGCTCCTCGTCGGGACTGACGATTCGGGCCTCTTGGGGCTCTCCTGGAGGCCCTCCTGGGCCGTCTTGGGAGCCTCCTGGCCTGCCTCGGGGGCCTTTAGGGGCCTCTGGGCGCGTCTGGGCCAAGGTGGAGTGCCTATATAGCCGTCTTGAACGTTGTGAGGACGAAAAAACGGAACATAGTGAAAATGTGCGTTGCCCGTCGGGAATGGGACGATTTTGGCCTCTTGTGGCTCTCCTGGAAGCCCTCCTGGGCCGTCTTGGGAGCCTCCTGGCCTGCCTTGGGGGCCTTTGGGCTGTCTTGGGGCTCCCAAGGGTGCTTTGAGGCCGTCTTGACGCACCCTGGACCCTCTCGGAGCCATCCCGAAGTTGTTTTTGGGGCATCTGCGCCCCGGAGTGCCCGGCGGACATTTCAAGACAGAGGACCTTCTGGCACGCAAAGATCGCTGAATTGTAGAAGAGACTAGGGCTGACCTGTGGACTACGTCCACGAGCGGGGGGAGGGGGAATGCCGCCAGGCGCACTCAATTACGTTAGGCGCCACGTTGGCTTCCTGGACGCCGAGACGCTCCTGGAGCCGTGGAGAGCTTGAGGACTAGATCTTACGCCTGGGCAGTGTGCTAAATCTGTCCGCGTCAGGCCAGAAGCCTCAGCGATGGACCATGGGTGCCGCGAACAAAATCTAACACGCTAACCTCGCGTTAAATCTTGTCCTCAAGCTCGGGGGGCGCGGGACCCTCACGTTGAGCCTCGGTCTCGGGCCCAGACCCCGCGTCAAATTTCGCCCTCGGGCGGTCATGCCGCGCACTGTGGCGGCCTCGGTGGGCCTCCAGGGGGCCCAGGTCGGAGCCGTCGCAGGCGGCGTCGGGAGGCTCCCGGGGGCGCCTGGGGGCCATCCTCGAGGGTGTCTGGGGCCGTCTGGAGCCCTCCTGCGGCTCCCTGCGGGCATCGTCGGCGGCCAGGGCCTGAACAAAAAGCTGGAAGGTGACATCTCGAGAACAACAACGGAAGGGACAGTGTCTTGTTTTGGCCTCTTCGGAGTGTCGCTGGAGCTCTCGGACTTCGAGCATCGGGCGACTCGGCGCGTCCGTTTGTGCCGGAGGACAAGATTCAACGCCTGGACAGCGTGTTAAATCTTGTCCTTGCCAGGGTCGGGGCCTCAGCGCTTGGCCCCGTAGGGTGCGGACAAAATTTAGCACGGCACGTTCGCGCGAAATCTCGTCCTCGGGCGAAGAGGGCGCGTTGAATTTCGTCCTCGAGCTCGTCGGAAGCGCCAGGGGGCGTTTTTCCGGGTTTTGATTGACAGGCCCTTCTCGCACGCACGTGTGTTTGCAATGTAAGTAAAATGACGTTGGGCTCCAGATTCGCATCCCGCATCTCGCTCAGCAGCGCCAGCGACCGCTGCCACTGCTTGCCCTTCTCGCACGCGCTGATCACAGCGCTGGAGCTGATGACGTCGGGCTCCAGCTTCGCCTCCCGCAACTCGCCCAACAGCGCGAGCGCCCACTGCCACTGCTCACCCTTCTCGCACGCGCTGATCCCAACGCTGTAGCTGATGACGTTGGGCTCCAGCCTCGCATCCCGCATCTCGCTCAGCAGCGCCAGCGCCTGCTGCCACCGCTCGCTCTTCTCGCACGCGCTGATCCCAGCGCTGTAGCTGACCAGGGCGAACCCGTGGACTTCGTCCACGACCAGCAAGTCCCCCTGGCGCGCCTTCACGTAGGGCCCCCACCCAAGCAAAAGTCACCCCGAAACCTTAGGTGACTTTTTCTGGCCGCCTTTTCGAAGTTGGACGGCGGGCGCTTCCTCCGCTTCGTCATCCTCCTTCTCCACGTCCGCCTGGACATCCTTCGGGAACTTACAGACGGCTGTGGTGGGTGTGTGGTGTGCCTGTCGCTGCTTGTCTGCTCCCCCTGGTTTGAACAATTTTGAAAGCACCTGGGGCCTAGAAAAAAATCATCCGGAGGGCTCTGGTGACTTTTGTCCAGTTGCTTTTTCGAAGCCTGATGGCGGGCGCTGCCTTCTCCTTGGGAACTGTTTGGGGGCCTCTTGGGGTTTCTTTTCGGCCTCCTGGGGGCCTCTTTGGGCCCTTTTGGGCCGTCTTGCGGCCTCCTGGGGTGCTCTTGGGGTCCTCTTGGGCTGTCTTGGGTGCCCCTCGGGGCTGTCTGGGGCGCCTGTGGGGCCGTTTTGGGACCGTCTGGAAGCCCTCTTGGGCCATCTTTGGCCGCGCTTGGGGCTGTCTTGGGTGCTTCTCGGGCTGCCATGGGCGCCACAGGAGCCGTCCAGGGGCCGTCTGGGGCCGTCGTGGAGGCCTGCCAGGGCCCTCCTGAGGCGTCTTGGGGCAAGCTTGGGGGCCTGCGTTGTCGTCTGGAACGGTTTACAAACGGAAAGCACGGGAAGTACGGGGGCTCGGTTGGAGGTTTCCCCGGGGCGTCTCGGAACGCTCTTGGGTCATCTTAGAAGCGCACCGGGGCCTGCTGGGCCTCGCCTGGGCCGCTAGGGCGCCGAAAACCCGTATTGGACGCTCGCCTTTTTCGCACGCGCTGGCCCATGCAATGTAGTAGAGATGACGTCGGGCTCCAGCTTCGCCTCCCGCATCTCGCTCAGCAGCGCTAGCGCCTGCTGCCACCTTTCGCCTTTCTCGCACGCGCTGATCCCAGCGCTGTAGCTCATGACGTCGGGCTCCAGCTTCGCCTCCCGCAACTCGCTCAACAGCGCGAGCGCCCACTGCCACTGCTCACCCTTCTCGCACGCGCTGATCCCAACGCTGTAGCTGACTAGGGCGAACCCGTGGACTTCGTCCACGTCATCTTGGGCCAGTCTTGGCTCGAGAAGGCCGTCTTGGGCCTGTCTTCGCTCGAAATGGCGAGGAAGTGGAAATCTTTCAGAAACCATGGAAGAATCAATGATTTCGTTTGCCGTGGCTCGTCTGGAGCGTCTTCGAGCGGTCTTGGGCCGTCTCGGAGGCCCTCTTGGACCGCTTCCTTCTCTTCGTCCGCCTTCCGCTCTACCTCCGCCTAGACAGCCTTCGGAGCGTCAGACGGCTATGGTGGGTCTGTGGCGTACGTCTTGCCGCTTGTCAATTTTGAAAGCACCTGGGGCCTTGAAAAAAGTCATCCAGAGGGCTCTGATGACTTTTTTCTGGTTGCCTCTTTGAAGCCTGATGGCGGGCGCTGCCGTCTCCTTGGGAACGGTTAGAGGGCCTCTCGGGGTTTCTTTTCGAGCCTCTGGGGGCCTGCTGGGGCCTCGTTGGCTGTCTTACGGCCTCCTAGAAGCCTCTTGGGGCCCTCTTGGGCTGTCTTGCGGCCTCCTGGGGGCTTTTTCTCTAAGTTTTTTTGGGCGCCTCTGGGGCCGTTCCCGGGCTGCCCCCCCGAGCCTCTTCCGGGGGACAGCCCAGGAAATCTATTGTGCTTGCGGGCTGTGCGTGCGTGCTCCTGCTTGAGAGGTCGGAAGGGTGTCCCGACGTCACCGCTCGCTCTTTGGAGCTGTGCCTGGGAGAGCTCTCTACGCTGCGTCTCGCTTTGGGAGCCTTGATGAGAAGAGCTTTGTACTTCACCAGTCGCTCTTTTAATGGGTGTCTCTGGGCCTGCTTGGTGGTCCTTGTGGGGGTCTTGTTCGGGCCATTGTGAAGCTTGTTTGGGCTGCTCTGGGAGCGTTTTGGGACGTTTTGGGGACATTTTGGGCCGTCACGGGGCGTCCGTGAGGCCTTGGACCGTCTTGGAGCTCTCTTGAGGCTGCCTGAGGCCGTCTTGGGAGCCTCTTGGGGCCCCCATCGGAGCTCTCTTGGGGCCGTCTTGGGGTTCTCTGAAGCCGTTTCAGGGCTCTTTCCCGTCGTCTTGGGGCTCTTGTGGGCCGTCTTGGAGCCCTCTGAGGGGCCGCTGGCGTCTTCTTGGGGCGATTTGGGAGGCCTCTTGGCGTGTCCCGGGCTGCTGAGGAGCACACAAGGCGGGCATGCTGAAAATATACGTTTTCCTATAGGGATTTGACGATTTGCGCCTCTTTGGCGTGCGCTCGGGGCCCTCTTGAGGCGTCTTTGCGGCCTCTTGGATCGTCGTGGACCCCCCCCCCCCGGAAGGCTTCGGGCCCTCGTGGGCCGTCTCGGGACCCACTGTGAGGCCGTCTTGGAGCGCTCTTGGACGGTCTGGGAACCCCTCTGGAGCGCCTCTGGGACCGGCCTGAGCGATTCGGCCCCATGGTGGCGCCGTAAAGGGGCGATTTTGTGCACGAGAGGCCTGGAAAGATTCTCGCACGCGCTTCCACTGGCCATGTAGGAGAAACTAGGGCTGACCCGTGGCCTGCGGCCACGACGAGTTCCATGAACTTGCTTGGGGCGGGGCGGAGGCTGGGCCAGGACAGTTTCTGAACAGACCGCCCCCCCGGGTGCAAATGTTCAGAAGTTGTCTGGGACCACCCCGCTCCATCTTCGCAGTGCATGACGCTGCTGCGCGAGATCCGCGCTGGCACACCGACTTGGCGTCGTCGTCGTTGTGATCGCGGTCGTCGGCTCAGTCGTCGCTGTCGCTGTCGCTGTCGTCGTCGTCGTCGTCGTCGTCGTCGTCGTCGTCGTCGTCGTCGTCGTCGTCGCCGGCGACGTCTCCGTTGTCGCCGGCGACGTCGCCCTCCTCCTCCTCCTCGTCCTCCTCCTCCTCCTCCTCCTCCGCCGCCTCCTGCTCCTCCGGCGCCTGCCTCGACGTAGTGCATGGAGGAGCAGTCGTCGTGGCCTTGAGGGTTCGGCAAGTGCATGTGACGAAAACCACCGACTCCAGAACGGAGCGCGGAGCAGCGGCAGGCCTCGATGAGCTTCCTAGTTTGGTTTCCTGCCGGTGCTGCTTGTTTGATGTGTGCTTGCTTGCTGCTGGCGGTAAGCATTTTTTCCGCCACCGCTAACGTTTGGGAGCCTCGGCGTTCAGAGCTCTGGGTGCGTCACCGTTCGCTCTTGAAGTCGTCACATTCGTGCTTGGGAGCCTCGGCGTTCAGAGCTTTGGGTGCGTCACCGTTCGCAGTTGAAGTCTTCGCGTTCAGAAGGCCGTGCGTTATCTAAACCCTGGTGCGGCTCCTCGGGGTTTTCTGGGGCCTCCTCATCGTCCTCCTCATCCTCCCCCTCCTCCTCCTCCTCCTCCTCCTCCTCCTCCTCCTCCTCCTCCTCCTCCTCCTCCTTCTCTTCCTCCTCGTCCTCGTCCTCCTCTGTCCCTGGATCCTTCATCTGCTCGATCTCCGCGCCAATCGTGGACGCTATGACGACGCTCCCCAGAAGGCGAGCATCCAAGGCCCTCGGAGCGTCCAAAGCGGCTCTTCTGGGCCTGCGATCTGCGTCTCGCCTCTCGTCCGCCCCCTTTTTCGGAGGCAAGTTCGAAGCCACTTAGGGCGTCATGGGGGCTGGCTGTTTGGGGCCTGCGATAGCTCTCGCCTGTCGTCCGCCCCCCCTCTCTTGGAGGCAATTTTGAAGCCACTTAGGGCCTCTTCGGGGCCGTTTGGGTGACTTCTGGGATCTCTTATCGGCTTTCTGGGAGCCTCTTGGGGTCCTCTTGGGGCCGTCTTGGGCGGCTCTGGGGGTGGGTGCCTCGTGGGTCGTCTTGGGCGCCTCTTGGACCGTCCTGGGGCCGCCTTGGATCGTCTTGGGGTCCTCACGGGGGCATCTTGGGGCGATCTTGGGGGCCGGTGTGGCAGTCCTGGGCGCGTTGGAGACGAGAAGCACGAGGGCCTGTCAGGGCTTCTTTTCGGCTTCGAGGGGGTCTTTGGGGGCCCTCGGGGGCTCGCGTCGGTGCCGTTTGGGCAGTCTCGGAACCGCCTTGGGTCGTCTTGAGCGCCTCTGGGACCGTCTGGGGGCCATCGTAGACCGTCTTGGGCGGCTCTTGGGGTTGTCTTGGGTGCCTTCGGGGCCGTCTTGGGGCCGTCGTGGGCCGTCTTGGGCGCCTCTCTGGGTTTCTTTTGGGCCTCCTGGGGGCTTCCTGGGGCTCCTTCGGCTGCCTCGGGTGCCTCTTGGGCTGTCTTCGGGTCGTGTGGGGCCGTCTTGGGCGCATGGGCGCCTTCGTGGCCGTCTTGGAGCCGGGGCTTCTCGGGGGCTTCTGGGCCAGTCTTGGGACTGTCTTTGGGCCGTCTTGGGCTGCCTTTGTCCGCTCTTGGGGCTGACTTGGGTGCCTCTTGGGCCGCCGTGGGTGCCGCAGGAGCCGTCCTGGGGTCGTCTTGGGGCGTTGTGGAGCCTCTTGGGGCTCTCTTAGGCCGTCTTGGGTGCCTCTTGGGTCGTCTTGGGGCCGTCTTGAGCCCTCTTGGGCACGTCTTGGGCCGTCCTAGGGCCGTCTGGGGCCGTCTTGGGACCCTCATGGGAGCATCTTGGGGCTATCTTGGGGGCCTGTATGACTCTCGTGGACGCGTCGGAAGCGAAAAGCACAGGAATGCCACACATACACGTTTTCCGAAGGGAACGGGACGACTGTCGCCTCTTGGGGCTCTCTTGGGGGTTCTCCAGGGACGTCTGGGGAGCCTCCTGGCCTGCCTTGGGGGCCTCTGGGGCCGTCGGGGCGGCCTCTCGGCTCGGAGCCCTCTTTGGGCCGTCGGGGCGGCCTCGTGAGCGTCTCCGGACCGTCTTGGGGCCGGTTTAAGACTCTTCAGGGCTCGAAGGGGCCGCCGGGGCGCCGACTGCGCCAATCCGTCGCCCGCCCCTCTCGCACGCGCGAGGCGCTGCATTGTAGTAGAGACGACGTTGGGCTGCAACTTTGCGTCCCGCATCTCGCTCAGCAGCGCGAGCGCCCGCTGCCACTGCCCGCCCTTCTCGCACGCGCTGATCCCAGCGCTGCAGCTGACTGGACTGAACCCGTGGATGAAATCCACGGTTCGGGTCGGGCGAAAGGGGGGGATAGCAAAGGGGGGGTTTGAGAATCAGCTCACGTAGCTGATTTTCCCGGCGCCTCCCCGCGCCGGAGGCGGCTATGTATCGAGGAATGGGCTCCTCGGTGAGGCCGAAACCAGCTGCATGCAGCAAATTTCGTAACCCCCCCTTTTCCCAATCCCCCCCTTTCGCCCGACCCGAACGGTGTGCTGAACCTGGGGCTCGCACCCCGTGGGTGAACAGCTCATCGAAGTTGAACAGCTCGGGCGTCCCAGGGGCAGTGTCGGGGCCGTCTTGGGGCCGTCGTGCCAGAGGGCACGACGAGGGCCCCCGGAGGCCCCAAGAGAGCTCCGAGAAGGCCCCAGGACGCCGCTGGGCGCGGGCCCACCATTCTGCCTCGAGAGGGCTTTTTGTGGCAGAATGCACGTGGCCCTGTCTTGGATGGGGTCCGAAGGCCCCTAGAGGGCCGCAGGAGCGCCTCCAGGGGACCCCAAGAGGGCCCCAAACCGCATGTACTTGATATGCTTCTTGGGCTTGCGAGAGGGGCACCCAAGTACATGCGTCATGGGGCCTTGTCGGAGCCCTCTTCGGGCCCTCCTGGCCCCCTCTTTGGGCCCTTTGTGGGCGCGCCCACCCTGTCCTGGCCCCCTCTTGGGACCGCCATGGGCGCCTGAGGAGCCGTCCTGGCGCAGTCTTGAGCCGTCTTGGGGCCCTCATGGCAGCCTCCTGACGCGTCTTGGGACGATCTTGAGGGCCTCTCTGGCCGTCTTGGACGCTTCGAAAATGAAAAGCACGGGAACTCCTGAATACGTTTTCCCGAGGAAGTTGGGATGATTTGTCCTTGTTCGGGTTCTCCTGGGGATTTCTCGGGAGCTCATTTGGAGCATTTTGGTGGCCTCTTGGGCCGTCGGGCGGCTCTCTTGGGCGTCTTCGAGCGCTCGGGGCCTGTCTCGTAGGTCCTCTTGGACGTCTTCGGGCCCTCTTGGGGGCCTCCGGGGGCTCCGAGCGCCTGCCCGCAGCGGGCCGAGCCTGGCCGAGGCGGGCCGATGCCACTGGGCCCTCTTTTCGCACGCGCTGATTCCAATACTGTAGTATAGATGACGTCGGGCTCCAGCTTCGCCTCCCGCATCTCGCTCAGCAAGGCTAGGGCCCACTGCCACTGCTGGCCCTTCTCGCACGCGCTGATCCCAGCGTTGCAGCTGACTAAGGCGAACCCGTGGACTTCGTCCACGTCATCTTGGGCCGGTCTTGGGTCGAAATGGCCGTCTTGGGCCAGTCTTGGCCCGAAATCGCGAGAACAATCAATGATTTCTGGCCGCCGCGTGCCGTCTGGGCCGTCTTTTGCTATGTTGGGGCTCTTGGGCTGTCTCGGAGCTCTCCAGAAGCCCTCTTGGGCCGTTTTGGGCTCCTACGGGAGCCGTCTTGGAGCACTCCTGAGCCGTCTTGGAGCCCTTGCTGGATCCTCTTGAGCCTTGGAGCATTCGTGGGGCGCGAACCTGAACATCAGGGAACAGACAAATCACAAATCAATGACTTCTGGCCGCCGCCGTCTTGGGGCCATGCTGGGGCTCTTGGACTGTATCGGAGCTCTCTGTGAACCCAGACCCCCGACGTCATGATTTTTTCATGACGCGACCCCCAGAGGTCTGGACCCCTTCCCTAGGACTGGTTTTTCATCCCGAGTCGTTTTTTGACGGTCCCAAGGGCCAGAAGGGGCCCCCAGAGGCCAAAAATAACGAAAAACCTCCCGTCGTGATTTTTTTGTGACTCGAGGAGGTTTGGGAACCCTCTTGGGCGGCTCTTCGGGCCCGCTCAGGGGCTCCTGGGGGGCTCTCCCGAACCGTCTCGGGCTCGCCTGGGCCGTCTGGGGCTCCTCCAGGAGCCGCCTCGGAGACCTTCTGGGCTCTCTTTTGGGGCTCTTGCCGGAGCTCCTGGGCGGCCTTGGAACGTTCGGGTAGGAGGGAGGGAGGATGAGGAGGATGAGGAGGATGAGGAGGATGAGGAGGAGGAGGAGGAGGATGAGGAGGAGGAGGAGGAAGATGCTGAGAAGGAGGAGGATGAGGAGGAGGAGGAGGAGGCGGAGGAGGATGAGGAGGAGGAGGAGGAGGGGGAGGAGGAGGAGGAGGCGGAGGAGGAGGAGGAGGAGGAGGAGGGCAGGGAGGCGGAGCCAGGAGGAGGAGTAGGAGGGGGAGGAGGAGGAGGGGGAGGAAGAGGAGGAGGAGGGGGAGGAGGAGGAGGAGGAGGCACGAGTTGGCAGAAGGAGGAGGACGACGACAGGACACCGACCTCGGGGGGCGCACGAGCCGTCTGGGGTTGCTCTTGGGCCGAAATCGCGAGAACCTGACAATCAGGCAAGAACCATAACACAATCCATGATTCTTGGCCGCTGCGAGCCGTCTGGACGGCCTCTGGGGCCGTCCTAGGGCCATGTTGGGGTTCTTGGCCCGATCTCGGCGCTCCCTGAAGGCGTCCCGAAGCGTGCTCGAGCCGCCCGGAGGCACGCCGGGGCGCGCCAGGGGCGCCAAGTGCCCGCCGAGGCCGCGTCAGGGGCCCGCCGAGGCCGATGTTTGACAGTGGATCCGTTTCCCTTCCCGCACGCACTTCCCCTGGCCATGTAGGACGGATGACGTCGGGCTCCAGCTGCGCCTCCCGCATCTCGCTCAGCAGCGCCAGGGCCGGCTGCCATTGCCCGCCCTTCTCGCACGCGCTGATCCCAGCGCTGTAGCTGATGACGTCGGGCTCCAGCTTCGCCTCTTGCATCTCGCTCAGCAGCGCAAGCGCCTGCTGCCACTGCTCGCCCTTCTCGCACGCGCTGATCCCAGCGTTGCAGCTGACCAGGGCTGACCCGTGGACCCCGTCCACGACATCTTTCTGGAATGGTTCTCGGAGGAACGGCGGAGATGTTGCCGAAAACCTATAAGCACGGCGGCGGCCGTGGCGGCGGCAGCGAGACCGCGCCTTCGTGTCGGAGCTCTTGCAGCGCTCCAGCAGCTTGGCCCCGGCGCACGGCTCGTTCGCCCCCCTCCTGCTGGGGACCGTTTTGAAGTCTCTCGGGGATGTGCGTCAACATCGACGCCCATTTGAGGCGTCTGAGGAACGCCGCGGGAAGAGCTCGGGAGGCCCTCGGGGACAGCACCCGGGAGCGCCAGGGAGGCTCGCAAGGATCTTCAGGGAGGGCCCAAGAGAGCTTCAAGATCTTAACAGAAACCGCTGTTGGGTCGGACGTGCTCCGCTACGTTGGGGAGGCCGTTTGGTTGGAGTTCTGTTGAAATCGAAGCTCTCTCGGGCGTGTCAGGAGCGCCGGGCCCCCTCTCTTGGAGGCAGTGTTGAAGCGTAGTTAGGCCTCTTGGGGGGTTGACGGCCTCTCAGGTTCTCTTGTAAGTCTCTTCGGGGCCTTTGGGACCCTCTTGGGCCGTCTGGGCTCCTCTTGGGCCATCTTGGGGCCATGTTCAGAGCTCCGTACGTCATCTGGACCCTCATGAGGCTCTCTTCTGGATCTTCTCGGGTTTCCTCCTCCTCCTCCTCCTCCTCCTCCTCCTCGTGCTTCTCCTACTCTGCCTCCTCCTCCTCTTCCTTCTCCTCCGCCTTCTTGCCTCGATCCTGCATGCCCTGGATTTTGGATCGTCAATCGTAAACACTCGGAGCATCGAAAACAGTTGTTGGGTCCTGCGTTCTGCCTCTCACCTCTCGTCCGTCCCCCTTCTGTTGGAGGGAATTCTGTAGCCACATAGGGCCTCTTGGGGGCCGTGTGGGGGCCTCTTGGGGCCTCTTTTCGGTTTCGAGGGGGCCTCTTGGGGCCCTCTTGGGCTCTCGTCGGTGCCGTTTGGGCCGTCTCGGAATGGGCCGTCTGGGCGCCTCATGGACCATCTGGGGGCCGTCTTGGACTGTCTTGGGCGGCTCTTGGGGCTGTCTTGGGTGCCTTCTGGGCCGTCTTGGGGCCGTCGTGGGCCGTCTTGGTGTTTGGGCCGTGCTTGGGCCGTCTAGGGCCTGTTTGGGGCTGTCTTGGGTGCATCTTGGGCCGGCGCCTCTTGGGCCGTCCTGGGCCCGTCTTGGGGCCCTGATGGGGGCATCTCGGGACGATCGTGGGGGGCTCCGTGGCCGTCGTGGACGCGTCGGATACGAGAAGCACGAGAGTTCCAAAAATGTTGTTTGCCTACCAGAATGGGGCGATTTTTGCGTTTCGGGGCTGTCCTGGGGAATCCTCGAGGGCCGTCTTCGGAGGCTCCTGGCCTGCCCTGGGGGCCCTTGGGGCTGTCGGAGCGGCCTCTTGAGCGGCTCGGAGCGCCTCTGGGGCTGTCGGGGTTGCCTCTGGAGCGGCTCGGAGCCGTCTTGGGGTCGTGGGGGGCGCCCTCTTGAGCGGTTCGGAGCCGTCTTTGGGCCGTCGGGGCGGCCTCTGGAGCGTCTTGGTCGTGGGGCCGTCGGGGCAGCTCGTTGAAGTTGAACAACTTGTGCGTCCCTGGGTCTGTGTCGGGTGCATGTTGGGCCCTCCTGCGAGCCTGTCTGGGCCGTGTTGAGGGCCTCTTGCGGTTTTTGGGCGTCTCTGGGGCCGCTCCTGGGTCCCCCATGGCCTCTTCTAGGGGACAGCTCGGGAAACTTACTGTGCGCGCGTGCTGTGAGGTTGCTGTCAGACGGTTCCTCCTGTCACCTCTGAGGTTAACTGCAAAATTTGCTGGATCGTCGGGCGCTTCCGTCTCCGTGGGGATCGTTTGGGGGCCTTTCGGGGTTTCTTTTCGGCCTCCTGGGGGCGTTTTGGGACCCCCTTGGACCGTCTTGCGGCTTCCTGGGGGCCTCTTGGGACCCTCTTGGGCTGTCTTGGGTGCCCCTTGGGCCCTCTTGGCGCCGTCTGCGGCCGTCTTGGACGCCCCTGGGGCCGGCTTAGGGCCGCCTTGGGGCTGCTTTGGACTGTCTTTGGCCGCTCTTGGTGCTGCCTTGGGTGACTGCTGGGCCGTCGTGGGCGCCTCAGGAGCGGTCCTGGGGCCGTCTTGGGCCGTCTTGGGGCGCTCCTGAGGCGCTCCTGAGGCGTCCTGGGGCGATCTTGGGGGCGTGAGTTGTCCTCTTGGACGCTTTGACAAGGGAAAGCACGGGAATTGCGAAAATGCACGTTTCCCCTCAGGATTGGGCTTGTGCGGTCTCTCTCGGGGCTCATCTTGGAGCCCACTTGGAGCGTTTTGGGAGCCTCTTGGGCCGTCTTTGGGCTATCTTGGGCGTCTGCGAGCGCTCTTGGACCGTCTCGGAGGCCCTCTTGGACCGTCTTGGGCTGCTCTTGGGTGGCCCTGGGCTCGTCTCGGAGCGCTCTTGGGCCTCCTGAAAGCGCGCCGGGCCTGCTGGGGCTCGCAGGAGCCCGCAGGGGCCGCCGGGGCGCCGGAACACCTCGCCCCGACCCCCGCCTCTCTCGCACGCGCGTATGCCTGCAATGTAATAGAGATGACGCTGGGCTGCAGCTTTGACTCCCGCATCTCGCTCAGCAGCGCAAGCGCCCGCTGCCACTGCCCGACCTTCTCGCACGCGCTGATCCCAGTGTTGCAGCTGATGACGTCGGACTCCAGCTTCGCTTCCCACATCTCGCTCAGCAGCGCAAGCGCCCGCTGCCACTGCCGGCCTTTCTCGCACGCGCTGATCCCAGCGCTGTAGCTGATGACGTTGGGCTCCAACTTCGCCACCCACATCTCACTGAGCACTGATAACGTGTGTTGCCATTGCCCGCCTTTTCTGCATGCGCTGACAGTCGCAAAGTAGTGGCTTGGGACGAGTTGCACGCCATATTGAACTCCTTCGCGGAGCAACCGCAGTGCGGCGCTCCATTGTTTTGTCAGGCCGCAGTTCTTTATCGACGCTTCGAGTGACATAACGCATTCTTGAGACTATCCAGGAAGACATGGCACCAGGTCTTGAGCCAAAATGACTTGAGCCAAACATGTGTGTGTGTGTGTGTGTGTGTGTGTGCGCCTGTGTGTGTGTGTGTGTCTATGTATGTGTGTGTGTGAGTGTGTGTGTGTGTGTGTCTCTGCGTGCGTCTGTCTGTGTGTTTGTCTGTGTGCCTCTGTGTGTGTCTATGTGTGTCTGTGTGTGTATACGTGTGTGCGTCTGTGTGTGTGTGTGTGTGTGGCTGTGTGTCTGCGTCTTTGTGACTGTGTGTGTATCTGTGTTAATCGCATTTGTTCGACCAACACTTGCCCCTTCCGCCAGCGCAGTCACTCTGCCTGGCCGCCGACGCAAGAAAGTGTGTATCTGTGTGCGCGCGAGCGCCGCGGGACGCACCCAAGCCCAGGTGCGTCTTCTTCCAGTTGTGAGGAATGTAAGGGAAAAGAGTAGGGGCCCCGTCCAACCAATCCCACAATCCTGAAGCCCAAGAGGATTGAGATGTCCGAAGAAATAACAACTTTTTGTCGTCAGGGCCTGGCGTCTGGGGCCAGGGGCCCGGCGCCGCGGGCTCCGCACCCTGACACCTCAACGCTCTGACACGGACGCCTCAACCCAAACACCCTGACCCGAGCGAGATGGTCCGAGGTGGCTCAAGATGTCCTCCAAGATGCCTCCAAGGGGCCCCATGATGGCCCCAAGATGGGTCCGAGTGGCCGCGGAGACTCTCAAGGAGGCCCCCGAGAAGCCGAAATCTTTTAGAAGCCAATGGAAAATCAATGATTTTGGCGTTCTCGCCCTTTCACTTCCGATGGGCTCCCGAGGCCTCAAAATGACTCCAAGATGGCCCAAGAGGGCCTGAAGAGAGGGCCAAGGTAGCCACAAGACGGCCCCAAGAGCGCCCAAGAGGGCCCCAAGAGGTGACTTTGGCAGCCCTGCTCCTCCTCCTCCCCCTCCTCCTCCTCCTCCTCCTCCTCCTCCTCCTCCTCCCTGACTCTCCACTTTCCACGCGGTCCGATCGGATAGTGCGGAGAGTTATCGTGTAAGTATTTGGTTGTTTTGCAGCGTTTTGTTGCGCAGTGTCTGTCTTTAATTTTTACGTTTTAATGCTTGTCTGTGTATGCCGTTTTTTGTTGTCGTTGTTGTTGCTGCTGCTGTTGTTGCCGTAGTAGTAGTTGTTGTTGTTGTCGGTGGTGTGGTTGTTGTCGTTGAGGTGGTGTGGTTGTTGGTGTGGTTGTTGTTGTTGGTGCTGTTGTTGTCGATGGTCTGGTTGTTGTCGTTGACGGTGGTGTGGTTGTTGATGTGGTTGTTGTTGTAGGTGCTGTTGTTGTCGGTGGTGTGGTTGATATTGTTGTCGGTGGTGTGGTTGTTGTTGTTGTTGTCGGTGGTGTTGTTGTTGTCGATGGTGTGATGTGGTTGGTGTTGCTGTTGTTGTTGTTGTTGTTGTCGGTGGTGTGGTGGTTGTTGGTGTGGTGGTTGCTGTTATTGGTATTGTCGTTGTTGCTGTTGATGTTGTTGTCGGTGGTGTGGTTGTTGGCGTGGTGGTTCCTGTTGTTGGTATTGTTGTTGCTGTTTGTTGTTGTTGTTGTCGATGGTGTGGTTGTTGTGTTGTTGTCGATGGTGTGGCTGCTGTTGTTGCTGCTGTTGTCGGAGGTATGGTGGTTGTTGTTGGTGTCGATGACATGGTTGTTGCTGTTGCCGTTGTTCGTCGCTGCCGTAGTTGATGGTGGTTGTATGTTGCTGTCGTTGTCCTTCATGCTGTTAGTTGGCGCTGCTGCGCGTAATTTAATGTGTTCCCAACCCTTCTATGGTGTTGGGTCCTCGTTTTGAAGAGCCAGCGCCCCGTGTTCCTCCTTCTTTCCTACTCCCCGTCCTCCCTCCTCCCATCATCATCATCATCATCATCATCATCATCATCATCATCATCATCATCACCACCATCATCATCATCATCATCATCATTAGCATCATCATCAGCATCATCATCATCATCATCATCATCATCATCACCATCACCATCGCCATCACCATCATCACCATCACCATCACCATCACCACCATCATCATCATCATCACCATCATAATTGTCGTTAGCAGCATCAGCATCGACGTCATCATCGTCCTCATCATCGTAATCGTCGTCGTCCTCGTCCTCATCACCGTCATCGTCATCGTCATCATCAAACTCATGGCTCTCACCATCACCGCCAGCATCACCATCGCCATCATCATCATCGTCAACATCATCATTATCACCATCACCATCACCATCACCATCACCATCATCATCATCATCATCATCATCATCATCATCATTACCAACACTATCATCACCACGGTGAAAAAACAGGATCGCGTTCTCGTCGTTACCATCACCATATTGAACCACCACCATCTTTAACAACATCACCATCGCCGTCGTCAGAACCGTTATCAACATCATCATTATCAGTAGCACCATTGCCACTAAGGTCACCCATTATCATTACCATCGTGATTCTCATCGTCATCATGAAGAGCCCCGCCCAAGCCTGGGGCCCGGGGCCCGGTGTCTGGGGGCCGGGGCCTGGTGCCCAAGGCCCTGAGCCCAAGGCCCGGCCAGGGCCCGGGCACGACGATTCCTCCATAGTGGTTCGAAGAGGAGGAGGAGGAGGAGTGAAGGGCGTTCGTGCCACTCACGTCGTGCGTGCCGGTCGTGCGTGCCGGTCGAGACGTAGTACTTTATATGTAGCGTAATACATGTAGTGCAGTTGTCCGTAGTCTGGTAATCAACGTAACATTGCTGGTAACTCTGGAATCGTAGGACTGTGTAACGGCGCGCGGTAGTATAGCATGCAAATCGAGAGACTGCGAAAACAGATGCGTAAATACGGTGCTCGAAGACCAGTCGTACACGTAGGTTGGTACATCAAGATGCGCGCTCACCACGTACACGCTTCTGCGGCCCCTCCATGGTTGATGTAGGCTCACGCTTGTTGTCCTCTTTCTCCTCCTCCTTATCTTCCTTTTCCTCCGCCTCCTCCTCTTCCTCCTCCTCTTCTTCTCTCCTGGCTCCTCGAATCAAAGCTCACAAACTATTTAACAGGACGGGTTCGCAAGGAGCGTCCCAGAGCGCCCCGGATCGGATTGGTGGCGCAGGCCCGAGGCCTTTACAAAAAGAAAAATACTTGTAATACGTATTTTATAAATACTGATATTAAAGCGACTTCGAAGGATACCACAAGTCGTATCACTAAAAAGCCGAGTGCTGATAATAATAAGAATCACAATGCTAACAATCATTCCAGTAACAACGATAAGGCAAGTACTCGCAGCCGTCATTCATTTCTACTATTACTACTACTATTACTACTATTACTACTATTACTACTTATTACTATTACTACTGTTACTAATGTTACTACTATCACTACGACTACGACTACGACTACGACTACGACTACGACTACAACTACAACTACAACTACAACTACAACTACAACTACAACTACAACTACAACTACAACTACTACTACAACTACTACGACTACTACTACTACTACTACTGCCACTACTACTACTACTACTACTACTACGACTACTACGACGACTACTACTACTACTACTACTGATACTACTACTACTACTACTACTACTACTACTACTACTACTACTACTACTACTACTACTAGTACTACTACTAGTACTACTACTACTACTACTACTACTACTACTACTATTCTTTATTGTTACTACTACTACTACAACTACAACAACAAATACTACTACTACTACTACTACTACTACTCCTACTACTACTACTACTACTCCTACTACTCCTACTACTCCTACTACTCCTACTACTCCTACTACTCCTACTACTACTACTACTACTACTACTACTACTACTATTACGAATAACAATGATCGAAACACATCAAACAGTAACGCGAACAATAAGCATAATAGTATTGTTAATTCAACTAATAACACAAATCATAATAACCATAAGGATAAGCAGAAAAGGATCATTCAAGTTTTTTTCCCTACCCCCCCGGTTATGAGATCCACACACCCCTAGTCAACCCCCGCCTCTGTCGAACCTCCACAAATGGGGTCCGAATGTATGGGGTCAGAAGATCGCGCAGCATCGCCAACGCATCGCCGATGCTTCGGCGATGCGTCAGCGGCGCTGGAGATGCACCGGTGTCGTCGGCGTATAGAACATCGGGCTCCATATCGAAGCCGCATCGTCGATGCGGCGCGAGCGTCCGACCCCATCTGCTCGGACCTCATTTTGGAGGCATGGACTCCTGGACGCCCCCGACTGAGGCGAGACTCGGTGACGCCAGCTGGGACCGCGCCCACCCTCCGCTGATCGGCGACCCTCTGGTGGGAGGGCCCGCGGGCGCTGCGCGCCTTGAGGAGCGCGGGCCGATGGGAGAGGCCCGGCTCGCCGTCTGGCGGCCAGCCAGGGTCGCCAGCACCTCTTTCGGGCGGGGGAGAGGCCGCGGGGGGCCCCTGGCCTCGTCGTCGGCGTCGGCGTCGGCGTCGTCGTCGTCGTCGTCGTCGTCGTCGTCGTCGTCGTCGTCGTCGCCAGTGCCGCCGCCGCTGCCGCCGCCGCGGAGGCCGCCGCCGCCGTCGTCGAAGTCGAAGTCGAAGTCGTCGTCGTGGAAGTCGTGGTCGTGGTCGTGGTCGTGGTCGTCGTCGTCGTCGTGGTCGTCGTCGTCGTCGTGGTTGTCGTCGTCGTCGTCGTCGTCGACGTCGTCGTCGTCGTCGTCGCGGTCATGGTCGTGGTCGTCGTCGACGACGACGACGACGACGCCGACGCCGACGCCGCCGCGGAGGCCGCCGCCGCCGTCGTCGAAGTCGAAGTCGAAGTCGTCGTCGTGGAAGTCGTGGTCGTGGTCGTGGTTGTCGTCGTGGTCGTCGTCGTCGTCGTGGTTGTCGTCGTCGTCGTCGTCGTCGACGTCGTCGTCGTCGCGGTCATGGTCGTGGTCGTCGCCGTAGTCGTGGTCGTCGTCGTGGTCGTCGCCATCGGCGTCGTCGTCGTCGTGCGTCGTGCGTCGTCGTCGTCGGCGTCGACGTCTGCGTCGGTGTCGTCGTCGTCGTCGTCGTCGTCGTCTGCATCGTGGTCGTGCGTCGTGGTCGTGGTCGTCGGTGTCGTCGTCGTCGTCGTCGTCGTCGTCGTCGTCGTCGGCGTCGGCGTCGGCGTCGGCGTCGGCGTCGGCGTCGTCGTCGTCGTCGTCGTCGTCGTCGTCGTCGCCGCCGCCGCCGCCGCCGCCGCCGCCGCGGTCGCCGCCGCCGCCTCCGTCGTCGAAGTCGAAGTCGTCGTCTTGGAAGTCGTGGTCCTGGCCATCGTCGTGGTCGTCGTCGGCGTCGTCATCGTTGTCGTCCTTGGCGTCGTCGTCGTCGTCGTCATCGTCGTGGTCGTCGTCGTCGTCGTTGTCGTCGTCGCGGTCGTGGTCGTGGTCGTGGTCGTGGCTACGATCGTGGTCGTGGTCGTGGTCGTCGTCGTCGTCGTCGTGGTGGTGATGGTCGTCGTCGTCGTCATCGTCGTCGTCGTCGTCGTCGGCGTCGGCGTCTGCGTCGGCGTCGTCGTCGTCGTGGTCGTGGTCGTGGTCGTGGTCGTGGTCGTGGTCGTGGTCGTCGTCGTCGTCGTCTTCGTCGTCGTCGGCGTTGGCGTCGGCGTCGGTGTCGTCGTCGTCGCCCGTCGCTGGTCGCACGTCGACGTCATCCATGTCATTGTCGTCGTCGTCTCCTCTGCCCCTGTCTCTTTCCACGGTGTCCGTCGGGGCCACGGGGATCGTCAGCCGAAGGTGGGAGCTGATGAAAACGTTGTAGACGCACGTGCAGGTGTCTATGGTAACCAGGTGCTGAAGAGTGGAACCCGGCCTGTGTCTCTTCGGACCGCCGCCCCTGCGGCTGCCGCTCCTTCTACCTTGCTGCGGCGCTCCTGTCCTCCATCCTCTGTCTTTTCTCTCCCTGCCCCCGCGCGAATGTTGTCGCCTCTCTTCCCGACTCGTCTTGCTCTCGCTGCCGTCTCTCCTTGCCCTTCATCCCTGTGCTGCAGCTTTTAGGTTTTCCTGCCCAGCCCGTGGATCACCGCCGATACGCCGCGCGACCGGCTACCGAACAATGTGTGTGTGTGTGTGTGTGTGTGCGCGTAGTGGTGGATTTACTTCAACCTCCGCCCTGCGCCGCCTTGCTTTTCGACCCTGGGCCGCCAGCGCGCGCTTCCAGGAGTAAAACTCAGCCACGCCACTCCATAAGGAAGGAAACAACTTTGAGCCGCCGATTAGACCCATTGGCGCGTCGGAACAACCTGCGCGGTGAATGCGCGCACCTGGGAGTATCGCTTAGCCACGTCTCTGCGCAAGGCAACTAATGACTTTGAGCGTAACCCGCCATTGGGACTAGCTCCCGATTGGACCCATTGGCGCGTCAGAGAAGAGAAGTTTGCGCGTGCGTGCGTGCGTGTGTAGGTCGTAAAGCGGGGCGGCAAATGCGGCCCCAACATCTGCGCGGCCACGACGCACCTGGGTGGCACGGGGGAGCCGAGCGCCCCCCGCCCCCTCGAACCAACCTGGTCGCGCTTCGTTGGCAGATGCACTGACGTAGTCAACAACTATGTCGCCACAGCTCTTGCACACATAGGGGCCGCGTCCACCACGGCGGTGCTAGTCGCAGACCAGAACAAAGCCTTTGAAAGGCTATCACTTCCATGGCTAGCCGACCTGCTCTGGCGCTGGGGGCTGCCGGCTTGGCTGCAACATGCCCTGCTCGCCCAGGTCGTCGACAGGGACGTCCAGACAATTGAAGGGCTATGATCAGGCCCCAAGCGCAGGCTCCTGCGATCGATCGGAATGGGAGGCTCTGCGTCGCCCCTGCTATGGTGCATGGCCTATGACCCAGTGGTCGCCGCTACAGCGGACGCTATAAGAACTCAGTGCCCCACATACGTGGACAACCTCGCAGCGCTACTCGGCACCGCTGAGAAGACCCTGCGCGCCACCATTATACTGCCCTGAGCATCCGTTGCCGCAGGCCTGCTCGTCGCCTTGCACGCGTGCCGAGGCGTGGCGCTCTCGGACCAGACAGAAGGCCTCGGCCATTCTATAGCAGCCACCCCGCCAAACGTCCATACCGCACCCAGCGGGGTTCTGGTAGTAACAGGTCTCCCAGCCGTGCTCACCAAAACCATGCTTGAAGTGGACTTGGGCCCAAGGGCAGTGGCTGGGCCCTGGGAGTGGCGCACCAGCTGCGCCTGCTCCTTCAAGACAGCCCTAGTACCCAGAGCAGCCCCAGCCTGTTGGAGACAGGTGATGGGCGCCTTGCCATTCGGCAGCTCCTGTCAATATGCAGTGGCCCTATTTGGGCACCGCGATTGTCGCCGGGGGGGAGGCGGGCCAGCCGCCCCACACGGCGAGCGCCTAACGGCGGCACAGGCCCACGCCCTCATCAACGGCACCTGTGGGAAAGCCTCTGCCAAGATCCGCTGCCGTGCGGCCACGCTGCACGGCGCCCGTGCCTTCCCAGGGAGAAGGACCGCCGCCTGGAGCGCATGCATAGCGTCGGTGGTGCCATATCCAGCCCTCAGCCGCCCTTGAAGTGTCGTTCACCGCCCAGCTACCCGTCGCCATCGGCCTTGCTGGCACCTACTGGGTCCCAACGTGCGTTCTCACCGGCGTCGGTTCCCGGTCCCAGGTACCTGCGGGCCCGAGGTGTCCCGTGGCCGCCGCCAGGGCAATCGCTGCTCTCGCCCGCGTGAGACAGGACGTCTGGAGCCCGGTGCCGGCGCAACGAAAGGCCACCATCTAGTGGAACAAACTGGCCCGCTGTGCCCAGGCCCGCTGGACGGCAGACCCGCTCCGCCGCCCGCGCCCCCAAGTTCTATCCCTAGGCAAGGCCGCCGCTGTCATCCAGCAGTGCATCGGCCAGCTGCGCGCGCTGAGCGGCGCGCGGCTGAGCCGCGCTTTGTGCGTGGAGGCGCGGGCTCAACAGCGCCAATGCGACTTCCGCCACTGGCCGAGAGACGCCAGTGCCAGGCGGAGATGGGCCCCTGGAGCAGGGCAAGAGTGGCAGATCCGAGCCCATGTCAAGTGCTTTACCTCTGCCTTCCACGTCCTCCGGCTCCTGGCCAACGGCCTGCCTGGCCACGCGAGGTGGAGGGGGGCGCAGGACAGGCGCCCGCGCCAGTGTAGCCGGTGCAGGTGACAAGGAAAGGCACGTTGGCACACCGCATCCGCCGAGACCCCGGGCTGCTCGCGAGGCAGGCAACGCCTCGGACCACGGGGCCTCGCCGACTCCAAGTGGGCCGCCATGGGCGACCAGCACATCCCGGGCAGGCTACGCCCGACGGGGCCGAGGATCTGGGAGGGAACACCTCTCGACCCCGCGCCCGTGGCTGCCTCTAGCCCCTACGGCTGCTGCCCGCTGTGTGGCCTGGGTGAGGCCAGCATCGAGCACCTGTGGGCCCGGTGCGTGGCTGTCGCACTTGCCTGGCACCTGGTCCGACAGGAAAGCGCCCCCGAAACCTTGGCCAACGCTATCATGCAGCCCGGGCCGCTTGCCTGGGCTTGCCGCCTTGCTGCGCCAGTTTGCATGCAGGTGCACTGTTGCCCTCGCCCAGCAACCATTGGACGCCGACACAGCGGCCAACCTAATCAGGGCAGGCGCAGTGACCGATAGCACGTGCGATCAGCCGGATGACTGCCCATCCGACGACCTGCCCCCCTACGGTGGCGCGGACGCGATTGGCGCCTGGGTCCTAGCCGACGACCCCTGCCCTGGATGCATGCCCGCACTGCGGACAACTGCCGTGGACGGGTCAGCGCAACCGCATAGCGCCAGGGGGGCCCAACGAGCAGGAGGCGAATGAGGCCGCCTGCCAGTCGCCGCGTCTCGGGCACCCGCGGACGCCCCGCTCCTGCACCTCAAGTGTGACCGCCTGACCGGAGGCTGGCTGTTAGCAGGCCGGGGGTGGTTACTGTGCCGACGACGCCCCCAACGCCAGATGGGACGCCCAGTTCTGCCGAGATGGCCAGCAGCACTGTCAAACCTTGCGCGTGACCCCTGCTCTCGACGCCAGGAGCGAAATCATCGTCCCCAGATCGCCCTTCCCCGATCAGGATCGCACGCGGTGGCCCATGGAGGTCGCGTTAGACGGAGGGGCGCGCTTCGTCGAAGGCCGCCTCACGGTGGCAGGCGCAGGCGCCGCTCTGTGGTGCCACTCTGCCGATGGGCGCCCACCAACCCGCCTGGCCACGTGCGTGATGGCGCTCCCCGGCTCCGCCAACGCGCAGCTGGCCGAGGCCATGGGGTGCCGTGCGGGGGCTGAGCGCGCTCGCCCGCGCCGACCCCCCCCCGTCAGGGCCGCCCGGATCGTCGGCGACGACCCTGCCGCCGCGCGGTGCGGCGCTGGCACTGGACGCTGCGGGCGCCTTCCCCTGGCCATGCACGTGGCCCCGGGGCTCTGGCCCCTGCT